TATGAGTTAACAGCTTTGTCTGAGTTCTGTAACTTCCCTAGAGAATCAAGCCTAGAGACCCTAACCCAAGCAAAGATCAATGAGAACTCTATAATCACTGGTGGATGTTAAATTGGTTGAACCCATGCGAAAATAATTTAGCATTAGCTTAAGTTCAGCATTTGCATATTCTGCAACTCAGCAATTTTACTTTTGGCTACACACCCCAGAAAAATTCTTGCTGTGTGATCTTACATGTGATCTAGGACACATATAAAAGAATGGCAACACTGTTCAAAAAAGCAAATAAATTAAAAACAATTAAGATGTCCATTAATAAGAATTAGATAAATTCACACCATGGACTACTATATAGCAGTAAAAACGAATGACCTACAGCTATACATATCATAAATTAATCTTAAAGATTTAACACTGCATGGAAAAAAGAGGAATCCACAAAAGAAAAATATGGTATATAATAATATCATGAGGATCAAAAACAAGCAAACCAAATGATAATTTATGTTTTTTCCTTTAAAGTAGAATACTACACATATATGCAAAACAGTGTTACTATTTAACACTTCACAGTGTTACTGGGAAGAAGAAAAGCATAAAAATATAATGAATCGTCATGACCTTGCCACTCAACCCTGGAATTGGAGCCTTACCGATAACATGGCAATCTAACCTTGTACCTTTTAATCTACCCCTCTGCTTCATGCCAAGAGATAAACACTATTTAGAATTTTGTGTTTATCATTCTTTTGCTAGATTTCTACCTTAGTCATTTTTTTTTTGGCCACAGACTGTACACTCTTTGGGAAGCAGTAAGTTTTCAAGAAAATACTAAAACTTTAGGTTTTAAATTTGTTTTTTGTTGAGAATGTAGCTTTTACTTATTTGAACAGGTCTCTACCTCCCGAGATGTTAGGTAAATGTTTAATGTAGTATCCTTTATATAACAGTATAAGCACAGACTCTCATACACTTACATTTTACTTTTTGAAAGAAAGAACAAAATTGAAGGACTCACAAAAACAAGACTTCAAGACTTACTACAGTAAATCAAAACCATTGGTAAAAGGACAGGCACAGAGATCAGTGGAACAGAACACATTATTCAGAAACAGACCCACACCTATATGGTCAAGTGATTTTCTACAAATGGCAAAGGTAGCCCACACCAAGAATGAGTACCAGTCTATAGGACAAATGAACTAGTTTCTTCAACAAATAAGTGGCTTTTTTAAAAGAACAAACGATTGTATTAAATAAAACAAGAACTCGTAACAAAATGCCTGCGAACTTTATCTGGATCCCTGTGGAATAAGCCGACTCAAAAAAGGTATCTTTTAGTAAACTGTAATATTAATTTGGCATTAGGTAATGTGAAAGAGTTATTTTGTTTGATGTGATGATGGCATTGTGGTTATAATGTCCCTATCTGTCAGAGATACATTTCCAAGAATTTATTAGGTGGAATATAAAGTCTAAGATTTACTGTGAAATATGACAGAATAAAAAGGAAGAGAATGACCAAAAAAAAAAAAAATCATTTTGAAATATACCCGAGCATTCTGCTTTCCTTAACAAAGGGCTATCCTCACGAGAGACTACCAGAGCCTTATCTGACCTAGGGGAAGGGCATTTAGACAAGTGGAGCCTCTCTAGCCCTCTTGTCTCAATTAAGGGGAGAGGGAAGAATTGGCTAAGAAACACTTCTGAAAGTCACAACCCAGGACTCTGACTCACTAAACAAAATGGAGATTTCATCATAAGATTATAGAACATTTCCCCTTACAGCCACATCAGCAGGACTCCAGTATAGGAACAACGGATTATAACTAGAAGGCTCCAAGATACACACTCTAGTTAACAAGGAATTTCTAGGGAGACCCAAAGACAACAGGAGACACAAAAACAAGAACATAGAGGAAAAAAAGCCTCCAACACGGAAAGCTACAGCAAACAATAAACACAGCCTAACTCCTCACAAGATAAACTTAAATCCTCACACAAAAGGCCTATTTACCTCACTTTCTATTACCCCGATACATCATGTTCAGCTTTCAACAAAAATTTCAAGGCATGCTAAAAGGCAAGAAAAGCACAGGCTGGAGAGACAAAGCAAGCATCAGAACCAGACTCAAATATAAGATTTCGGAATTAGCAAAATGGTAATTTAAAATAACTATAAATCATATGCTAAGGGCTGTAATGGAAAAAGTAGATAACATGCAACAACAGATGGCCACGGTAAGCAGAGAGATAAAAATTAAGAAAAAATCAAAAGGAAATGCTATAAAACAAAACAATGTAATGGAAATGAAAAAAGAATCAGTGAGCTTAAATATATGTCAATAGAAACTTCCCAAACTGGGGCGCCTGGGTGGCTCAGTCGTTAAGCGTCTGCCTTCGGCTCAGGTCATGATCCCAGGGTCCTGGGATCAAATCCCACATTGGGCTCCCTGCTCAGCGGGAAGCCTGCTTCTCCCTCTCCCACTCCCCCTGCTTGTGTTCCCTCTCTCGCTGTCTCTCTCTGTTGAAAAATAAATAAAATCTTTAAAAAAAGAAAAAAAGAAAAAAAAACTTCCCAAACTAAAATACAAAAATAAAAAAGAATGTATTTATTTATTTATTCATTCATTCATTCATTCATTCATTCTAGAGAGAGAGTGCTCGAACAGTGGAGGAGGAGCAGAGGGAGAGGGAAAGAGAAAATCTTACATAGGCTCCATGCCCAGCTCAGAGCCAAATGTGGGGCTCGATCTCACAACCCTGACATCATTACCTGAGCCAAAATCAAGAGTCACAACACTTAACCAAATGAGCCACCCAGGCACCCCAATAAAAAAGAATTTTGAGAGAGGAACAGAATATCAAAGAACTGTGGGACAATTACAAAAGATATAATATGCACATAGGGGAATACCAGGAGGAGAAGAAAGAGAGAAACAGGAAAAATACTTGAAGTAGTAATGGCTGAAAGTTCTCCAAAAGTAATGAAAGACACCAAACTACAGATCCAAAAGTTCACAGGCAATCAAGCAGTATATTGCCAAAAATCTCCAAAGTATTTTATATTCAAACTGCAAAAAAACAAGGAGAAAAATCTTGGAAGAGGAAAAAATGCCTTGCTTATAGGTACAAGGAAAGAATTATGTCAGACTTCTCTTCAGAAACCATGTAAGAAGCAAGAGGAGGGTAGAGTGAAATATTTAAGTGTTCAAAGAAACAAACTACTAATCCAGAAACCTGTATCAGTGAAATTATCCTTCAAAACTGAAAGAGATTAAAGGAATAAAAAGATAAACTACAGGTTGAGAAAAAACATTTACAAAACATGTATCTGATAACAAACATATTTCCAAGATATTCAAAGAATGCTAAAAACTCAACAGTAACAAACCACCCAACTTCAAAATAAGCAAAAGATGTGAACAGACACATTACCAAAGATAGATAAACTGCAAATAGGCGTAGGAAAAATGCACAACATCATGTTATTAGGGAACTGCAAATTACAACATGAGGCACTACTACAGACCTGTAAGAAGGACAAGAAAGCAGAAGATGGACAATAAATGCCTGCAAAGATGTGGAGCAACGAGAACTCTCCTTCATTGCTAGTGGGAATGCAACATGACACAGCCATTTTGGAAGACAGTTTGGAAATTTCTTACAAAGCTAAATAATCTTAACATACAATCCGGCAACCATGCCCCTTGGTATTTACTCCAAGTTGAAAATTTATGTTCACACAAAAACCAGGACATGAATATTTATAGCCACTTTATTCATAATTGCCAAAAGCTGGAAGCAACTAAGATGTGTCTCATTCAGTGAATGAATAAATAAATTGTGGTCCCTCCATACCAGGGAATATTATTCAACAATAAAAAGAAACGAACTTCAGGGGCGCCTGGGTGGCTCAGTTGGTTAAGCGACTGCCTTCGGCTCAGGTCATGATCCTGGAGTCCCGAGATCGAGTCCTGCATTGGGCTCCCTGCTCAGCAGGGAGTCTGCTTCTCCCTCGGACCCTCCCCCTTCTCATGTGCTCTCTCTCTCTCTCTCATTCTCGCTCTCTCAAATGAATAAATAAATAAATAAAATCTTTTAAAAAAAAAAGAAAGAAAGAAATGAACTTCAGTCCTGCCCGACATTTGGGAAGAGGGGAGGATGAAGAGGTGAATCATGGGGGATTTTCAGAGCAGTGAAACTATTCTATATAATAGAATTCTGTATATAACAGTGGATACAGAACATCATGTGTTTGTGAAAACCCATGCAACTGTACAATACCAAGAGTGAGCCTAATGGAATCTCCAAACTTTGGTTAACAATAATGGATCAATACCCGTTCATCAGTTATAACAAATGCAGGGCACTAATGCAAGATGTTAATAACAGGGAAAACTGTCTTTACCATCTTGCCCAATTTTTCTATAAACTTAAAACTGTTCTAAAAAATAGCCTATTAATTTTAAAAAATAATTATTACTATAAAATGGTCAAAATGCTATTACTTCAGGCGCCTGGGTGGCTCAGTTGGTTAAGCGACTGCCTTCAGCTCAGGTCATGATCCTGGAGTTCCAGGATCGAGTCCCACATCAGGCTCCCTGCTCAGCAGGGAGTCTGCTTCTCCCTCTGACCCTCCTCCCTCTCATGCTCTCTGTCTCTCATTGTCTCTCTCGCAAATAAATAGAATCTTAAAAAAAAAAAAAATGCTATTACTTCATTCTATAAAAAAAACAAAGATATAAATGTATTTATGTGTACCTACACAGAGAAAAAGAATGAAAGTTTATCTCTGGGTGATAGAACTACGGGTCATTTTAAATTTTTTTCCTTTGTGCTTTTCTAAATTTTCCATAATGAACACAGATTATACATACTGCTTTTTGAAAAGGTAAGATAAATAACTTTTTAAACTATTCAGAAAATTAAATACTTCTGCAAAGCTCAGTCTGCACAGATTTGTGGCTAAGAGCCACCGAAAAATCTAAGCTACTTACCTTCAGGCATAATGCTTTGGGTCATCCGTGATCCAGCAGCAGGGGCAATGGTGTTACAGTGAATGTTGCTTTTCTGGCCTTCAATTGCAAGGGTATTTGAAAGGCCCAGAAGACCCAGCTTTGCAGCACTATAATTGGCCTGGCCAAAGTTGCCATAAATTCCTGAAGCTGATGCAGTCATAACAATCCTAAAAGGAGAATCAATGTCTCAAAATCTCTTTTCCATGTTTTGATAACACTGCAACTCTAAGCCTTTTATTTTCTTTTTCTGTCCTTTTACACCCATCAAAAGCAATTCTGTATACTGTCATTAGGTTCCTACAGTCATGATTCATATACACAAAGTAATATTTATAATAAAAGTAATCTCTCAAAATTCAACTACAAGATTTAACTGTTTTGAAAAGAATCCCTGATCAAGACCAAATGAATTCAAGTACAAGAATATATATTCATTATCTACTGAAAAGAGCAATAAATATTTATAAACATAAAATAAAGGGCAACGTACAAGTTATGGTAAGAAACATTAGAAAAATTAGTTCCAATTATTTAGTTCTCATTACTTTGCCCCTCTCTTTCTGGATAATATTAAATGCCTCATATTAAAACAATGCCATCTCTAAAACGTGACCCCCATCTCACCCTATTTAGTAGACCAAGTAAAATAATTTCTAACATTTATTTTCAGAAACTTTGGTAGTTAGGAGAAGCTAGAACTCTCCAAGACGAACAGGTATCACAAACAATTTCCTGCTGGTAGATGTGTGTGAACCTCAGGTTAACAAGAAGGAGCCGGACAGAGTCCACGGAGCCACCTCCTGGCTCTGCCACGCTCCCGGTCACTCACACAGACACAGCCACATTCCTACAGCTCCCAGTATCTAAAGACCAACTCAGGTTGGACCAGCACTAGCGAGCTGGACACAGCGCCCATCTGTCCTCAGTTGGCCCTTGGACACGGTATCACTATACTTCGGTTAGAGAATGAAGTACAGCTGAATCCTCACCGTTTGTATACTGCTAGAATATCAGAGAACACCAGGAAATCCGTTCAAACTGAAAAGCAGGAGGTGAAAAGAAATATAAAGTTGCCCAGCTCAGCGAATCCTTGACTAAGTGACACCAATTTAATGAGAGGGTATATGCCAAGAGTACATTAAAAGCCTGCGCTTCTCTGACTAGATCTTCCTCACTATCGAAGCACTGATCTCTCCCTGTACACGAGGACCCACGCACAGCATCCCGGACCCCCCACCCCCGACAGTCACACACAACTCTACCTTCCAAACTTCTGTTTCTTCATATGATCCCAAGCTGCCCGAGTAACTTGGAACGAGCCTCGCAAATGGACTCTGTGGATTATATCTACAACAATATGTTTATTAGATACTTTGTCAAAAATTAGATCGGCATGTCTCAGAATCAACATAAGCAATGATTTATTTATACAAAGATGTTCAGTTTATACTGAGCATTCAAAATCAACTCCTGTCATATTGCTCCAAGAGTAACCATTTTTGCTTCTGTCCCAATTATGTAACCAATCAACAGTTCATACCCATTCTCCCTATAATTTATGATAGAATTACTATAATCCCCGTACACATCTAAATACAATGCCATCTTTAATTTATGCCTACTTTATATAAAAATCCACTAATACAAACATTCAAGAATTTTACACATAAAGCTGGTCCTGGGATCAAGTCCAGCATTGGGCTCCCTGCTCAGGAGGAAGTCTGCTTCTCCCTCTCCCTCTGCTCCTCCCCCCTGCTTGTGCTCTCTCTCTCTTTCCCTCTCTCAAATAAATAAATAAAATCTTTTAAAAAAAGAAAAGAAAGTAAAGGTATGAAGAGCAAACAGAAAATAAAAAGTGATTTGTTATTTAAACTCAATCTTTCCAACGTGGCATTCCTAGTGGGATTTTCCCCTACTCATTAGAAGCCTCAAAATTACATCTAGGGGTCCCCCACAATTCTCAGATCTCCAACATTTTCAGGGCCCCAGACTCCTTTCCATATCCTGCTCTTGTTCTTGAAATAAGAATCGCACAAGTAGCTAAGCACGTGTCAGACTGTTAAGAGTTAATATGGCTGGAAAATGCAAACAACTTCTCAAGAAGATAAAGGGGAAAGCGAATTGAAAGACACACAATCTTTTCAGGTAACTTCTGCCAAATGATTTTAAAAGTTTTCATTTATTGGGTGCCTGGGTGGCTCAGTCGTTAAGCGTCTGCCTTCGGCTCAGGTCATGATCCCGGAGTCCTGGGATCGAGTCCCACATCGGGCTCCCTGTTCTGCGGGAGGCCTGCTTCTCCCTCTCCCACTCCCCCTGCTTGTGTTCCTGCTCTTGCTATGTCTCTCTCTGTCAAAAAAATAAATAGAAAAATCTTTAAAAAAAAAAAAAAGTTTTCATTTATTAATGTTAAAAGAAAATAGGTTACTTCCAACTGTTGTGGTCATTTTCGGCTGTAAAGCTTATTCATCATGTTCGTCATCAACATCAGCAGAAGCAAAAGTAGGCAGAAGCAGGTTTCTCCTTAAATGTACAAATGTCTCAAATAGTAAAAAGGCTAAATGGATAGCTTTGCCCCACAGAGACCTATGTTACAAACAACTTACCCCAGTCTTCGTCACTTATCCTTCCAAAAGAATTGTCCCTCAGAATTCTAAAAACAATGATATTACATAGGTTAGAAGGAGGAGTATCCACTTTTAAAACACCCAAAAACTTTGCATGGACATTATCATCCTACTCAAAATGAAAAAAAGAAATACTCACCCGGCATTGTTGACCACAACATCTACAATATAAAAAAAAATCCAAGTCACAAACATAAAAACAAGCATATTAATTTGCATGGGCTTACAACTCATATTTCTTTCAAAATTGGGCTTTTTCTCCCCACCATGGAAAAGTAAATAATAATAGTAGCAGAAGAGTGCTATCAGAACAAAAATTTTATACCTATAGCAAAACAAAACACACAAAAAAACCTGATTCACAAGTATCTCATCATGTCAGAGTTTTCCTCTCAAATTTACATATGTAAATGTCTCCACCTTCACCTTATGCCAAAATTCTACCAGCTTACTGATAGAATCAGCTGTTGCCCAACTCTTAAGGTTCTTAGCATTCAACGGTAACCACAAGCTATCCCTCACTTAACCTCAGAATTCACTCAGAAAGTTCAAAGTTTAAAAGATTTTTCTTTGCCACTTAAGAGTCAAAATTCCAGAAAGGAAACTATTAGAGTTAGAAACTGGTGGCCTATCTTAATACATAATTGTATTCTCATTATTATTAAAAAAAAAAAAAAAAGGAATCTTTTTTTTTTTTTAAGGCTCAACCATCATCTTAGGGCTGTTCTCACCCTATAACTTCATGCCTTTGTGGCCTCCATCCCTCTGTCAAACTGCATGTGAACAAGTCCCTTATAAGCTCAACCCAACATAATCAGAAAAACAAATCTGCTAGACGACCAAAAAAAAAGGCGGAGGGAGCACATTCAAATTATAAAAATTAATGTCTTCCAGAATGTAAACATGTTGGGCTTATCTGCAGGAATGTTTCCCTATAGTAATTCAATAACCTTTCACTAAAAATAAAAAAATTTTTTAAAATAACCTTTTACTAGGAACGTGTGGAACTAAACCAGGAAGACTATCTAGAGAGGGATAAACTGAACGACACATCTGAAATCCTTCTTTCTGAAAAATAAAGATTTTTATTACATATAATTCATCTTAATCAATTCACAAGGTATTGAATCTTCATGATCCAAATCATAATTGTCTAAAAGATTCCACAGGGTCCTCTACTGCCAAAATATTTGTTTTATAAACATATTTGGGGTATAATTAAATTTTCATAAATAAAGAGCTCAGAAAATGCTCATTTTTTAAAGTTTTTAAGTCCAAGAAAATATAAAACAAACTCAACACATTTTTGCATAAAAAATGCCACCTCGAGCGTTTTGTGGAATAAGGTAGGGTATATAAAATAATTAATTTGTAAAAGAAATCTAAAAACTTGGCTATATAAATAAATAAATATAAATAAAACCTTGGCTATAAAGAAAGAAGGAATTTCTTATAAACAAAAGTAAAATAAAAAAATTTGATTAGGAAGGTAGAAGCTGCTCTGTTAGTACCATAAACACAAAGAAACATCACCTATTCTTCCAAAAGCTTCTAGTGCTGTCCTCACAACCTTCTCTCCTGCTTCCACCGAATCTGGAGGAAAGGAAAATTAGTTACAAAACATCAGTAATATCCCTCAGAAATAACTTCTAAATTCTGTGGATCAGAGCACATGACAAATACTATTCACTCAACAGAATTCATTTCCACAAAAACAAACTTATATTTGCAGGCACATAACAAATCAAAATATAGACGATCTAATGTTACAAAGGAAATGTATCCCCTAAAACAATTCTCTAAAGTACCAAAAAAAAAATAAAATTAAAAAATGGAGAGGGGAATAAATAACATTTTGGCAAATACTATCCAAAACAACACTGTCTAAAACAACTTTCTGTGAGGATGGAAATGTCTTATTACTATAGTAACAGTAGCCACTATCCACATGTGGCTACTGAGCCCTTGAAATGTGGCTAGTATGACAGACAAACGGAGTATTTAACTGTTCAATTTGTATTTAATTTTAAATAGTCCCAGAGGCACTTCCCCTTAAAGATGCAAATCAGAATTTACAAAGGAGGCAAGGAGGTACATGTTTAATTTGAAAAAGCATGTTCAATGCTCTATAACTACATATGTAAACAAACCTACTGTTTGTACATTACTAAGTACAAAAAGCAAAGCTCAATAAAATAGAGTGGCTTTCTTCTCTTCTGCTCATCAGCCCCGGGGGAAGAGCTCATATCCCCAGAGTTGTGTGTCAAATGATCTGGTATCAACATCCCACTGTCTCTCTCTATATTCTCTACAATCACTGGGGAGGAGCCAGGAAATATATTCCCTTCCCTGAGATCCATATAGTCCTGAGTTAGATCTGCCAAAAATAGGCACCCATCTAAAGAATGAAGAAGTAGGAGAAGCCTGCACATGCAGGCAAATCTTGGAGCAGAGTGCAGATGAAAGACTGCTGAGCCACGAGAACCTGACAAGGTCATCCACAGTTTCCTTGACATGCACGTACCCAGCCCTTCCAATGGTTATGCAAGCCTCTAATTCTTTGTATGAAAACCCTTCACACTTGGACACCTGCAGGGGCTTCTGTTTTCCTAACTGCATCTTGATTGATTGATATGGGTTGCATATCAAAACTGGGGGGAGAGGCAAGAGAGAGAGTCTGGAATTTTTCTCATTATAAAATAGATTTTTTAAACTCCAGAAATTTAAAAAAGAAAAAAGTTGAAAACATTTTTGTAGATCCTCAATGAGAAAAGAAGATACTAAAATATCTGTCTCATTATTCCCTAGAACACTCAAAACAAATCATATCCTATTTCCTTTCCTTTAAAATTTCAAAATCGGGTGCCTGGGTGGCTCAGATGGTTAAGCGTCTGCCTTCAGCTCAGGTCATGATCCCAGGGTCCTGGGATCGAGTCCCACATCGGGCTCCCTGCTCAGCGGGGAGCCTGCTTCTCCCTCTGCCTCTCTCTCTCTCTCTGTCTCTCTCTGTCTCTTATGAATAAATAAATAAAATCTTTAAAAATAAATAAATAAATAAATAAAATTTCAAAATCAAGTGACTGGCAATCTAATTTTACCTCTGGCTAATAAAAACAATCTAATTTGCAGAAAAGTCAATAAACACTCACTTTTTAAAGTAAATTTATTCAAGAAAGTTCCTTACAGATACTATTAGAATTGATACATCAAATGCTATTTTTCCTCATGGCTTTATTTTAATACCTAACTTTGACTCTTATGTTTTTATAAAGGTAAGAAAGTTACAAAGAACAATGATTACTTGTGCAAAATGGAACTTGGTGTTTGGATACCAGAAAGGAGGCATTTTACTTCCTATGCTATATTACTATAAGAATTTTTCTAAAACAATTTTAAAAGAAGAATCTAATGTTATTCTGTAGCTAAAACGGGTATGTCAAGAACAAGAGCATATTCCTATCCACATCATTAATAATTTACTGATTTTATCATGCACTGATTAATAAAAATGTTAAACAATATGCTAAAAGTTAAGACTCATGAAATAACCTACATCAAAAGTTTTTAAAAACCTCATATATTATATAAAATAGACAGCCAAACAGATTTGGCTGACTCAGAGAAAATCTAATCTCATAATCACACTGGAATGCTGAGACATTTGCTCAATGATTATTAATGTGAACAACAGCATTAGTTGAAGGAAAATGCAAGAATAGTATAGCTCTTTCAAATACCATACCATAGTTGGCCACGGCTTTTCCACCTTTACTTCTTATTTCTTCAACAACCTTATCAGCAGCTGCTAAGGAGCCTTTACTCAATCCCTTGATGTCCCCTCCTAAGTCATTCACTGCAATGCAAAAACAAACAAGAACTCATTTCTCAACCTCAAAATACGAACTGGAAATAAAATCCCATTGTGAGTGTATTTCTTTTGTCACCTCTTCAGTTCCTTCTGACCCTATCCCTGTCTTATGAAACATGCCAGGAGATACATACATACTTTCAAACATGGCCCTTTGTTTCTAGAGAGAGAGATACATGAAGCAGTAAAAATATTTAAACGCAGGTTCAGGTCACAAGATTTTTAACTTTGCAATGCTTTTTCTTTTTTGAAAAGACAAAAGAATATGATTCAACCCACTTCCAGCAAAAAGAAGAAAAATATTCATAAAACAAACTGTATTAGGGTCTACCATGAAAGAAATAAAAATTATTTGTTAAAAGAGATCAGAAACTATATACAGAACTCAAACGTATTCAGCCACTAATTGATACCATGACTCCATCGTTAGATGTTTAACAACTGACCATACTCACCGCATAACATCTCGCTGTGTCCAATTATACATATACAAAGATTCATCAAGCGTTTACTATTCGCAAGGAAATTGTACTACAGAGGGGCACTAAGACGTAGGAGAATGGTGCTGGTCCTCAAAGACTTTCTCATCTACTGAACGTTAAAGTATGGGTTGGCTAGAGTAATATACAGATTTCAGCAACAAGTACATAAAAACCAACAGAACTAAATAATGGGGACAAATAACAAAGTTAGTGTATGTCACAATTTAAGGTAAAATTTACAAAATAACATGCCAAAACTAATGAGAAGATGCATAGATCAATTCCAAATAACTTGAAAAAAACAATTTAATAAAAACACTTGGGACAAAGAAATAATTTACATTGCAAAATGAGTATTTTGTAATAATATTATTACATAAATTTAGAGGAACAACAGTAAAAAAAATTACTAGTTAATAAACGCATGGTAATATACTAAAATTTAAAGCTGTTTAATATTATCAAATTGATGGTCGCCACATCTGGGGAAAAAAAAACAAGATTTTTTTTTTCTTTTAAAGAATGTTTCTCTCCTCTCTCTCAATCCCTTTTTTTCTTCTTTTTTTCATTCGGGTGAAGGCTCGATGGGATTGGGTGGTTAAAGATAAGGGAATGAGGCAGGGAAAAAGCCAATGCCTAGCCACACCGAAAATCAGCTAAGTCAAATGTGTTTTCATATAACTTTTTTAAGGAAAAAAGTTTTTCAGAACGTGGACTGGAATATATTTTTCTACCATGTAGTCTTACTGTCTTACTGCAAATAAAAACTGGTATGAAGACACAAAATAATGGAAAGAGGCTTACATTATCCCTCAAGAGATTAAAAAAAGATTCTCAAGACTAAATTCTCTTAATTGTTCATTTCCATGAAATTACTCAAATGACAGGAAACAACCAGTAAAAAATATCAGGAGTTTAAGACATGCAGCTAACAGTCTTTTAAGAGCCTTTCTAACTAAGTAAGGCAAAGTTCAAAAGCAAATTGGCAAATGGGATGTTTAGAAAGAATTGCTCCATTGGGCAATGGAACACTACCCTCAAGTGGAAATCGTTCAAAGTGCAACCAAACAGGTAAGCCCTGAAGCCTGGGTAAATAATTTACTGAGATCAGTGCCATGCAGTTAAACAGCATCAGAACAGATTTATTCAAGACAAGTCTCTATACTAGAATGTACTCCATGAACACTGGCCCCATTCATCATGCCACTGTCACCAAACTTAAATCACAGGGTTACAACCTGAACTAGAAAAGTACTTCTCAGGTTACACAGTGAAAGCCTGGGATAGCAACAATGTGAAAAGATCTTTTTGCAATTACATGCAAAGAAAAATGTACCCATACTAGGTGACACTGTTACCATTAAATGGATGGCTAAAATTCTAAGGAATAATAATAATAAAGTTTTAAAATACCATTCGTACCTTATACTGGTATATGCATACTTGACGTTTTCAAAGAACCACGGGGTACACTGCAGCCTTTGATCTCGACAGAGCTTTTGGGAACACTGGCAGAACAGCTGTTCCCAGTTTCTCGGCTGAGGAAAGTCGGGAAGGGTTAGGTGACTTGCCCCAGGCGCCAAGGCTGCATGAAATGGCAAAATCCAGACTAGAACCTGGACCTACCACAATGCCACTCTGTTCCTCTAATGTTGTTTCTTTTATCCTAAAAACAATTTTTTCCACTAAACAAAAAAGGGAATGACACAGAGTTGCCATACTGTTTTCACTGTCTGGCCGAAAGATACAATCACTCTCGTTCATCAAAAAGCCTCTCCAGCGTGGCCATCGTGTTTCTAAATATGTAAGGGGCCAGAAAATGCAGTGGTAGCTGAGACAGCAGGGTCTTAAATTAGGCTCCTGTATCTGATTTTCTTTGTCTGAACAACAAGATGGCATCAAAGGCATCCTTACTGAGAGAAAAAAGGGGAAAATTAGAAACTGATCGTCCAGAGTTCTGTCCTTGGACCTCTTCTCCTGCTCGTCTATACTCCCTACCCGGGTAATGTGATCCAGCCTCCTGCCTTCAAGTACCATTTATAAACTGAGAATATTCAGATTTATATAGTTGTAACCTGTCCCCCAACTACAGTCTTGTATGCCACTGCTTACTGAATACCTCCATCTGAAAGTCTAGCAGGAACATCTCCTCCCTGCCCATCCGGTCCTCCTACGGTCTTTCCCGGTCTCAGTAAATGGCCCCTATCTTCCCCTTCCCTTGCAACCCACATAAGCAAATCAGCAAACCCTGCCATATCTACCTCCAAAATATACCTAGAATTTAACCTCTTTGTACCACGTTCACCCCTATGACCTATTTAAATCACCACCATCTCTTATGTGGATTATTGCAGTATCTTGATAGGACTCTCTGCTTCCTCTTCGTTCTCTCCCTCCTTTAATGGAAAAAGCCTAAGAATGTACAAAAAGAGTTAATAGTATAAAAGCCCCAATGACCTCATCATCCTCCACTTGCACTCTTGCTCTCCCACAATCTCTACACAGAAATCAGAACCATCCATTTAAAGCTTAAATCAGGTCATGCTGTCCCTCTATTTCCATTCACCAATGGCTTCCCATCTCAATCAGGGTAAAAGCCCGTCCTGACTCAAAGCTAAAGGATCTGACACAATCTGGCTTTCTGTGACCTCTGTTCTCATCTCCGAGTTTTGCTCCCCTCGATGACCTTGCTCCCGCTGCAATGGCCCTCTTGCTGACCTTGAACACAAGTTAGTCTGCTCCCGCCTCAAGACTGAGGCACCAGCCGGGCCCCGGGGCTTCTCCTGGCACAACCCTTCCCTGCCCCCAGGTCCCTCCTCAGAGTTCTCTTCCAGGCCATTCACTCTTTCTCCACAGCACTCTTCATTATCTGATACAGTTTTATATATGTATTGACTGTCTGTTTCCCCAATGCCCCCCTAACTAGAATGGTAATCTCTATGAAAACAGGGACCCCACTCCATCCCCTCAGCTCCCAGAACAGGGCTTGCTATATGACAAGCACCCAATAAATAACTGTTGGATGAATAAAGGAGTCCATATGATGTTGTTTATTAACTGTATAAAATATTTTTAGTTTTCCTTTTTCTTTTTTAAGATTTTATTTATTTATTTGACAGAGAGAGAGATCACAAGTAGGCAGAGTGGCAGGCAGAGGGAGAGGGAGAAGCAGACTCCCTGCTGATCCTGGGACCATGACCTGAGCTGAAGGCAGACACTTAACCGACTGAGCCACCCAGGCGCCCTTATTTTTAGTTTTTCTATCATTTAAAAATGATAATCAGTCCAGAGCTATTCTAAAGCTATTTTTAAAGGCTGCCCCCATAACCTGGGATCGTGATAGTCACAAGAAGCACCTGGGGAAGCCGTGGGCATTGTACATATAGCTCATTTATTATAAGCTGAAATCCACACGTGCCTTCTTGAGATCTTTCTCCATGTGTCATATAACTTATTCATTTAATCAGCATGTATGTCTTTTTTCCCCTTTATGTATTTATTTATGTATTTATTTGTTTAATTTAAATTCTAGTTAGTTGGCATACAGTTCAATATTGGTTTCAGGAGTAAAGTTCAGCACAACACCCAGCACTCATCACAAGTGCCCTCCTTAATGCCCATCCCCCATCTAGCCCATCCCCCACCCACCTCCCTCCATCAACCCTCACATTGTTCTTTGTTGTTAAGAGTCTCTCATGACTGGGGCGGCCGGGTGGCTCAGTCGTTAAGCGTCTGCCTTCGGCTCGGGTCATGGTCCCGGGGTCCTGGGATTGAGCCCTGCATCGGGCTCCCTGCTCCGCGGGAAGCCTGCTTCTCCCTCTCCCACTCCCCCTGCTTGTGTTCCTTCTCTCACTGTGTCTCTCTCTGTCAAATAAATAAATAAAATAGTAAAAAAAAAAGTCTCTCATGATTTATTTCCCTCCCTCTTTTTCCCTCTCCCGTAAGTTCGTCTGTTGTGTTTCTTAAATTCCACATGAATGAAATCATCTGTTATTTGTCTTTCTCTGATTGACTCATTTCCCTTACCACAGCATGCTCTAGCTCCATCCACAACACTGCAAATGGCAAGATTTCATTCTTTTTGATGGCTGAGTAGTATTCCTGTGTGTGTGTGTGTGTGTGTGTGTGTGTGTGTGTGTGTGTGTGTGTCTTCTTTATCCATTCAGCACTCGATGGGCATCTGGGCTGTTTCCACAGTTTGGCTATTGTTGATAATGCTACTATAAACATCAGGGTGCATGCACTCCTTCGAATGTGTATTTTTGTATTCTTTGGGTAAATACCTACTAGTGCAATTGCTAGACCATAGGGTAGCTCTATTTTGAGCTTGGTGAGGACCTGCCATACTCTTCTCCAGAGTGGCCACACCAGTCTCAGCATGTATGTCTTGACTGATCACTAAGCAAAGCACCAAGCTTACACTTGAGAGAATACATCAGTGCCTAAGGCAGGCTCTTTTCTTTAAGAATCTACAAAAGATCCTTAAAGAAATCTGAATCACAGACCTGTACCTCTGAAACAAATAATACATGATATGTTAAAAAAAAAAAAAAAAGGGAGAAGAAGATAGCAGGAGGGGAAGAATGAAGGGGGGGAAATCGGAGGGGGAGACGAACCATGAGAGACGATGGACTCTGAGAAACCAACTGAGGGTTTTACAGGGGAGGGGGTGGGGGGATGGGTTAGCCTGGTGATGGGTATTAAAGAGGGCACGTTCTGCATGGAGCACTGGGTGTTATGCGCAAACAATGAATCATGGAACACTGCATCAAAAACTAATGATGTAATGTATGGGGATTAACATAATAAAATAAAAATTTTTAAAAAGAATCTACAAGGGGCGCCTGGGTGGCTCAGTTGGTTAAGCGGCTGCCTTCGGCTCAGGTCATGATCCCAGGGTCCTGGGATCGAGCCCTGCATCAGGCTCCCTGCTCAGCGGGGAGCCTGCTTCTCTCTCTCCCTCTGCCTGCCTCTCTGCCTACTTGTTCTCTCTATCTCTCTGTCAAATAAATAAATAAAATCTTTAAAAAAAAAATAAGAAAAATAAAATAAATAAAAAAGAATCTACAAAAGAAACACGTCTTATGTAAAGAGGCTAGAATGCCCTTGAGTGGGCAAGACTCAGGCTCACTTTGACGCACCCAGGTCGTGAGCACAGCACCTAGCGCATGGCAGGCGGTCCCTACCATCGGCTCGGTTCTCTTGCCTTTACAAAGGCCTTGTTTTTGATGTCACTTAATCCCCACCATAATGCTCCAAGCTCGAGAAGGTGGCTACTAACAGTGAGAGACGCCAGGACTGGAAGCGCGACCTGACTTCGAAGGCAGGGCAGTGTTCCCACCATGGTTCCCCTTTCAGCTGTGAGGATCACACAGGGGCTGAAAAGACGGGCGCTGGCATCAGGCCTCGGGAACCTAAGAGTCATCTTTACCAACACTGGGCCACGGCAGCACGGGAAAGAAATCATGCCCATCTAAAAGGATCAGGATTTCAACTACCCAAAGGTGCTGCTTCTCCACTTCAAGAATTGAAAAGGTTCTGCCATTCTAACGGTCAAAAGAGAGGTTCTTCTTGCTGGACCACTTGAGTCATCTTTGTGTTCATGCCCTCAAGAGAACACTCAAGACTCAGAGTCCTGCCTATGACACAACTACTGAGAAAAGCCCAAAACAATTCCATTGCCAACATTCACTTCAGGCATGTGTAAACATTTCCTGTAAGATGTAGTTTATACAACGCTGAACATCCCTGTTGTAACTATCAGCCAAAGGCTGAGCACTTCTTACACCAGACTGAGATCTCCCGTAATTCTTTATATCACGGAATATAAAACATAGCAATCATATTAACATAAGTTAGAGAATATCTTTTGTGATGCTTGGTCCAGGAACTTCCTCTGGCCAACGAAATGGGAAGGGCAGGGGCATGCTATCACAGAAGAGATTAGGAGGCATCCAGTGGTATTCTCCCTCCATCCCAAGAACAGCAAGGTCCCAGACAGAAGCTGCTCCTTTAGCTGGGATCCTGAAATTAGGAAGACACTGAGAGCAGAGACACAGTTAACTGGAGGCTAAAAGGCCACAAAAGCATGCAATAATTCTTTACTATTGTCAGCCATTGAGATTTGTTTGTTAACCCAGCATAAGCCAGCATAAGGTGACTTATAAGAGAAACAAGCTACTCTATCCTTTTGGTCTTACTTCTTATGGAATTCTGAGCTAGCCATAAAATTAGGAGGAATCACTCTTTCATAGACAAGATACTCTGATGTCATACCCTCCCAGGTTTATTTATTCCCCTACTTTTTCTTACTCATGTAAAAAAATACGCAGGGCAGAACAAAAACTAACAAAGGAGAAACAGTAGTGTGTGCGATGCAAGCTGGAAGCAGGATCTGAAAAGCTAAACTAGGGGGTAGCAGTGGCCAGGGAAGAACACAAATTGCGGTTGGTCTAGAAAGTTCACAGGTAGGTCGCAGAAAAAAAGCAGTAGAAAAAAATCAGCCAAAAGCTAAGCCGTTTCACATAGATCAACTTTTCCACTTAACCAAACGAAATCTGGCTCTTCAGCCAAGTATGACAAATGATTTTCCAAGATACAAACTTTCTGTCCTGCTGGACTTCACCAGCGCTTGCTGCAATGACAAAATAAACAGACACACTGGACCTCTTTATCTTTTTGTTGGAACTCAAAAACTCCTGTTCTGAATTTAATACATTCAGCAGTAAGAGATCAATACAGGAAAACTGATCCGCACGAACACCGTTGCTGTAAAAGTCTTTACAAAATAAGTTTATAAACTAAGATTATATCTTAATCCCACAAAAAATAGGAATTTATTTGACCAATCTCGAAGACACACCTGTCCCCTCTCCCACTCCCCTCCAGGAAGAGTGTATGTCAAACAACAAAAAAGATCCAATGAACAAAGTACCTTCTTTGCAGAGGAAATATTCTAAATCCTTTAGGAGCTACAGAAGATAAAATGGGAGTCCTTACATGTACAGAATTGAGCAGAAAAAATGTAGATAAATCAAAAGTTATAAGGTAAAAATATTAAGTAACGGATAGAAAAAAAAACAAAAACAGTACCAACATGGGTCTGTGGACCCTGACAATGAAGTATCTTACAAAAATCTGGCAAACGGGGCCTGAACTATACACCCTCTGGCTAAATACCACAATGTCAAAATTTGTGCTTGCCACAAGAAGCAGATTGGATTAATAGACGGTGGATATGTCTTTAAACAAGGAACATCCAAAGATTCTGTGTCCCTTCCATAAAGATAAGCTACATATCTACCCTGAGGGAGAAGAGTATAATTAAATGTCCTGCTTGAGTGTTCTTTGTCTAGAAAACCGGGGTGTATAACCTTTTGGTTATGCATGTCTCCATAAACAAATTGGGGGAAATTTGTCTCTCTCTATCCCTTAATAAGAGGTAGAAAAACTGTCATTAGGAAGTCCTTGTGGGCCAACAATTTTATCCCAACAGATTATTAGTTTATAATCTATAAACTAAGATTATATCTTAATCCCACAAAAAATAGGAATTTATTCAACCAATTTCAAAGACACATCTGTCCCCTCCCCCACCCCCCTCCAAGAAGAGTCTATGTCAAACAACAAAAAAGATCCAATGAACAAAGTACCTTCTTTGCACAGGAAATATTGTATTTCCTGTGCAATAAATAGAATATTGCACAGGAATAATTAGAGACTAATAAATATTAGGCCCTATCGTCTGTCCTACCTACCTACCCTGCACTGAGCACTCATTCAATTATTGCCCACAAAGGCTTGGTGGCAGACAAATCCACTCCTGCATGCACCACATCATACCAGGCCAAAACATTTAAATTACTAAAACCTCCCACCTTGTGATCCTTCAATACAGCATCTTCCAACTGATGATCCATAATAAAATTCATGCAACTGTCCCTTCAACGAAAACTTTTAACAATTTGTTGGGAAAAGCTCCCATATAAAAAATTTTGATTAAAGAGGTTTAAAAAGAAAAAAATAAAAATACTCTGGATTCCCTGACTCCAAACTTCTAGTCCTCAAAATGCACTTCTTATTCTCATCAATATATTTACACTTAAAGGGATTCATCTTGAACCAGCCTTCTGTCTCAAAAAATTACAGCTCACAGTTTTCCAAATTCAAGAATTTCCTTTTATACAATGAATGCCTGACCATCTTTATCAATTCTGTTTGGCTGCAAATTCTGTGAAACTAGTCTACTCTAAAAAAGTAAGTTAGAGAGTCAGCCTCAAGGAGGAAGTTTTGCTGGCAGAAGAAATAATTAGTGATGAAATTTGACCTTGACAAACTATTTGACATAAAGACAAAGGTGACTGACTTGTGACGACAGTACTTTCCATACAAGCTACTCATTAAAAAGAAAAATGTATTGGGGCGTCTGGGTGGCTCAGTCGTTAAACGTCTGCCTTCGGCTCAGGTCATGATCCCGGGGTTCTGGGATCAAGCCCCGCATCGGGCTCCCTGCTTGGCGGGAAGCCTGGTTCTCCCTCTTGAACTCTCTCTGCTTGTGTTCCTGCTCTCGCTATCTCTCTCAAATAAATAAATAAAATAAATAAAAATATTTTAAAAAAAAGAAAAGAAAAATGTATCAACTTACCAACAACGGATGCACCTCTTTCTGCAAAAGCCAGGGCATAGGCTCGGCCCAGTCCTAATAAAAAACAAAAGCATCAAGAAAGTTGAGCAAATGTTAGCACTTTGGGGGTTCCATTCAAATCAACCCCTATTTTAAAGTAACTGGCGAGCAATTAACTGTATTACAGTGACAGAGCCTTCCCTGGTACTCTCCCCATCTAACTCACCCTCTTCTACTTACAGAGGTCAGAAAGCTTAAAACTGTATTTTCCACCTATTCTGCCTATCATTTCCTACCCCCCTACCTAGCTGCTAGGAAGCTCCAAGGGAACTGGGTTCCACCATTATAGGCATTTGCACATCTGGAAGGTGGAAATGAGGCAGAAGTTAGCTTATGGTGACTTCAGGCTGTTGCCATTGGTTAAGAAGCTGCTTTCCTTAAGTCAATCAGAGAAAGACATGTATCATATGACCTCACTGATATGAGGAATTCTTAATCTCAGGAAACAAACTGAGGGTTGCTGGAGTGGGGGGTGGGGTGGAGGGATGGGGTGACTGGGTGATAGACACTGGGGAGGGTATGTGCTATGGTGAGTGCTGTGAATTGTGTAAGACTGTTGAATCACAGACCTGTACCTCTGAAACAAATAATACATTATATGTTTAAAAAAAAAAAAGAAGATAGTAGGAAGGGAAAAATGAAGGGGGGCAAATCGGAGGGGGAGACGAACCATGAGAGACGATGGACTCTGAGAAACAAACTGAGGGTTCTAGAGGGGAGGGGGGTGGGGGATGGGTTAGCCTGGTGATGGGTATTAAAGAGGGCATGTACTGAATGGAGCACTGGGTGTTATACGCAAACAATGAATCATGGGACACTACATCAAAAACTAATGATGTAATGTATGGTGATTAACGTAACATAATAAAATAAAATTTAAAAAAAATAAAGCTGCTTTCTTGAAGCTTCCTGGGTATTAAGAAACAGAGTGTGCAGTGCCAACTTCCTGGTCGAGCTCCCTCTTGATCTAGCTCCAGCTAGCAGCTTCCACTCTCTAGACCCTTGGTATCCAGGGGCTGTTTGGGCTGCAGCAGTTCCAACAGCTGCCTCCGAGGGAGGAGCTCCCCTACTGAACCAGTTCCGACTATTCCAGAAGTCACTGCAAGACCAAGTGGAAAGACCCAACTGCCTGTGGTGGTTTATTTATTTTTTAATTTTTAATTTTATTTTTTTAAGTAGGCTCCATGCCCAACATGGGGCTTGAGCTCACGACCCTGAGATTATGAGTCACATGCTCTACCAACTGAGCCAGCCAGGCACCCCCCAAATACATGTACTAAATCCTTTCCTGCTTCAAATATCTACTGATTTCTATATCCTGTACTGAACCTTGCCTACACAGTTACCAAATACAAAAAATATTTAGTTCTGACTCAAAGGTACAAGGTGCAAATTTGTTATCCAAAATATATACATATACTTATATAGGTTTTAGAAGCATAGAATATCTCAGGAAGACTATATAAGAAACTAGCAATTAAGAGGCTACCTCTGGGGAACAGAACTGTGTGACTAGCAACCACGAGTGGAAGGCTTACTTTTATATTATTTATTTATTTATTTATTTTTAAGATTTTATTTATTTATTTTATAGAGACAGAGACAGCGAGAGCAGGAACACAAGTGGGAGAGGGAGAAGCAGGCTTCCCCTCGAGGAGGGAGCCCAATGTGGGACTCGATCCCAGGATCCTGGGATCATGACCTGAGCTGAAGGCAGACGCTTAGCGACTGAGCCACCCAGGCGCCCCTTATATTATTTAAATCGCTTTAACATGTATACATTTTTTTAATTTAAATTACCTGATAAATTTAATTAGTAGTTTAAATTTAATTTAAATTGATAAAGAAGCATACAAATAACAAACTGAGATCGCTAAAGTATCAGACTCTTCTAAAAAGAACCCGAAATATAAAATTATCCAAAACTGAAAGATATCACCAAATAATTGATTTTAGAATAAAGAAGACTCTGAGAAACAAACTGAGGGTTCTAGAGGGGAGGGGGGTGGGGGATGGGTCTTTAGCCGACGCCTTGGTGGCTGTCTTGTTAAGTGTCTGCCTTCGGCTGGGGTCATGATCCCAGGGTCCCGGGATGGAGCCCCGCATCGGGCTCCCTGCTCAGCGGGGAGTCTGCTTCTCCCTCTGCCTCTGCCTCTCCCCTTGCTTGTGCTCTCTTTCTCTCTCTTTGACAAATAAATTAAAAAAAAAAAAAAAGTCCTTAGCCAATACAAATAACTCAAGTCTTCTCATATCTTATCAGATCAAGGCTGAAGCACGTGTTCTAAACATTGTGTTTTTAAGGAAATCAAACGCTTATGACCAGAAATCCCAGAATGCAAAATTAATGGTAACACAGTAGAAAATCATCAGATGAAAGGAATGGGGTGGGTCTCTGGTAGAGAGAGTGACCTAATTTAATCAGAGAATTGTCTCAACTTAAAATCAAGATATATAGTTCTCTCAAAAGATAATGTCAAGTGATGTTCCTTTATCATCAAGGCCCATATAAACTATACATAAATCTGCAAATAAAGTAATAAAGTAAGCTTTAGTAAAAAGTGACAGTCTCCTTTCTTTTCCCTCCAACACCACTAATTCATTAGCAGATTAGGAAGGGTCCTTGCATGTTTTAATATTGTGTTTAAACATTATTTAAATACTTTATGTCCATTAGTCCGCCTCCCTAATTAAACTAGAAGGTCCTTGATGGGTGAGATTGAATATGTCACTCTTTTGCCCTTCCCACAACACCCAGCACAGCTTTAGAGTCAAATGCACAAAAAGTTAAATCCAACAGCCTCCATTTTGTCATAATCTCTTAATTCTCCCACACCTTTTTTTTTAAAGATTTTATTTTATTTATTTATTCATGAGAGACAGAGAGAGAGAGAGAGAAAGAGAGGCAGAGGAAGAAGCAGGCTCCCCGCTGAGCAGGGAGCCCGATGCGGGACTCGATCCCAGGAACCTGGGATCATGACCTGAGCCGAAGGCAGATGCTTAACCATCTGAGCCAACTAGGCGCCCTCTCCCACACCTTCTTAATTCTCCTAATTCTCACCCACACCTAAATCCATTGCCAATCACCCTTCCTCCTCCATTTCTCTCTCTTTTTTTTATTTGACCTTAATTTCTTTAGCACTGTCAAATCTCAATTGATTCTTAACTCAGACTGCTCATTCAGGGTTAGGTGGTTTACACTCTAAAGTTAACAACAAAGCCCCTGAAAATAGCTTCCTAGACTATTTCCCTTTCCAGCTTTACCAACTGAAGGAATTCAAATGACTTCAACATCTCCCCTGTGACTTCAGAATCTCCAGCTACTCACACACTCTCACTCACTCCAGATCCAACATCTGCTGTCTCAGAATCATCTGAAATCCAAAATGGCTGGACTTCCTTCCTTCTTCCATGGCCCAAATCCTCCACTCTCAAGTTACATCCCCCACAACCACTTTAGTCAATCAATAAATGGCTATTATACCCTGTTATTCCCCTGTAATACCACCAATCACGGCAAAATACTCCACTCGAAGTACAGTGCTTGGCTTGATAAGCAGAGAATTGTCTGGACAATTCTATAATTCTCCTTCCAGGTCTCCCATTAAACTTATCTATATTTCAAGCTAAACAACAGCATCTAAATAGGGCAGACAGATTTGTTTTTTTAAAAGATTTTATTTATTGATTTGAGAGACAGAGCACAAGCAGAGGGAGGGGCAGGCAGAGGGAGAGGGAGAGGCAGGCTCCCCCGCTGAGCAGGGAGTCCGACGCGGGACTCGATCCCAGGACCCTGGGATCATAACCTGAGCCAAAAGCAGACCTTACCCGACGGAGCCACCCAGGCGCCCTGATATATTTCTCTTTATCTGTAGAATAGGAGTGGGTTGGAGTCAGACTAATTCTCAGACACAGGCCCAGCAGGCATTCACCGACACCCTCCTGGGACGTTCATCACTGCCTCAGTTCTATGGGTATGAATCTCTAAATGAGAAACCCAAGACCTCAAGGACAACAGTCTCCCTTATAGGACTGCAACTTGATCTCTGTCTCCCTTCCTCAATGACGACCTAGGACAGTCTCAACTTCACTACAAAATTGTATTTCTCCCTCAGATCGACAAGAGCTAGCGACCGTACCATAATCCAGGCAAAGGAAAGTCTGCAGGACTCTATAAACAGGAGGTCCTAAGTCCATAATTGTCTACTCACAACTCATTAATGATTCATAAAATCAATTTAGTACATTGCAATGTGCATTTACTTAATGAAACAGAAAATTTTAGAGTGCACTTCATTTACTATGTATCATGTCATGAATGGTGTATGGGTGTCCTGGGTCATGGTGCAAAATGTATTTCATACTGTGAATCACTCACTGTTTAAACAGGCTTAAAACACCGAGTGCATCACTTAATTATTTCCATCAAAAGTAAAGTGTAAACAAAATGTTTTCCAGGGGCACCAGCCTCCATTTTGTCATAATCTCTTAATTCTCCCACACCTTTTTTTTTTAAAGATTTTATTTTATTTATTTATTCATGAGAGACAGAGAGAGAGAGAGAAAGAGAGGCAGAGGAAGAAGCAGGCTCCCCGCTGAGCAGGGAGCCCGATGCGGGACTCGATCCCAGGAACCTGGGATCATGACCTGAGCCGAAGGCAGATGCTTAACCATCTGAGCCAACTAGGCGCCCTCTCCCACACCTTCTGTGCACCATGACCCAGGACACCCATACACCATTCACGACATGATGGCTCCGTTGGTTACGCAACCAACTCTTGATCTCAGCTCAGGTCTCAGTTTCAGGGTCATCAGTTCAAGCTCCGCATTGGGCTCCATGCTGGGCATGGAGCCTACTTTAAAAAACAAAACAAAAAAAGTTTTCCAAAAACATATGATCATTTTAGGATGAATATAGCTATGAGTATAAAATCCTTGGCCACCAATTAATACTAAAAGCACCTTCTGAAAGGTGGCGTTAGAATCCATTCTATCAATGCAGATGGAGCTACAGATGGATTAACAGAATTCCACTGTTGTGACTTTCAATACACAATTTAAATTAATTACACTTTAGGTCTATTCTAGATACAAGGTACCACCAGTGGGAATCAAAGGCAAGGAAGGTCAAGATCCCAACACCTGGGGGTTAGAGAGATCACGGGCTGGTGGGAAACAGCGAAAAATCGCACTGTAGAGCATCACCATGGGTATGAGCGGTTTTCTTTTCTTTTTTTTTCTCCTTCAAGAATAGGGTTATTTCACGTAACAAATCTCCATTTTGTTTCTCCTGAAACCTAGATCTGGCGCCCTTCAGAAATATGTCTGCTCCCCAGTTCCTACTGTCCCTACCGCACCCTAGCACCTGCCTGACTCCCGTAGGCATTTTGAATTTACAACTCGCACCGAGACTCCAGTCAGTCCAGTACAGTGCTTGGCTTGATGAGCATACAAACTCCGAGCAGAAGACTCTTATCAGATCCCCTCTCCGAAGAAGAACCTCTCAAGAACCTAAAACCATCCGAAAGAGGAAGAGAAACGCGGCACGGCCGACTTTTCAAAGGCAAGGGGCTGACATCCCTCCTCCTAGTCTGGGGGTGATTCCCGCCGCGCACGGGCCCCTGAGGTCAGGTCTACTCGACGGAGGCCGAAGACAGGCGATCGAGCATCGGCGAGACCTTTCATCGAGTCCCGCCAACCACAGCCCGGCCCGGCGCCTCTCCTGCAGGACCCGGGGCCTCGCGGAGCTGCACGGGGCTGTGTGACGCAGCGCTGGCCAGGCCCCCTCCCTCCTCGGCAGAGTCGGCTCCTCGAGCACGGCCGTCACCCGGCCTCCCACCCTGCCCACCGGACCCCGGGCTGGTTCTCCGAGCCGCCCCTCCGAGCCGCCCCACGCCGCCCGCAGCCCCGCCGCTGGGGCTGCAGCTGCGGCTGCGCGCGCATCCCGGGACGCAAAGCGGGGCTCCGGGCGCAAGAGCTAGGCCGGCGTCCGCCCTGCGGCCTTCGCGTGCTCACCTCCCCCCGCGCCGGTGACCAGGACCACCCGCCCGTCGAAACGCAGGGGCGAGGCCATGAGTCCAGCCTGCTGCGACAGACACACACACAAGCCGAACAGCCGCAGCTCGCACTGCGAGACACGGAGGAAAGAGTGAGTGGAGGTGAGGGGGTGGGAGTGACCTGCGAGTTTCGGGGAAGGAAAAGGACGCCGCAGTCTTCCAAGTGCGCCTGCGCAGGAGTCCCTTGGAACTCTGGGAAATGTAGTCCAGGGTGCTTCCAGGGTCAGGAGAGCCTCCTCAAGGGGTTTGACTTCAGAGGGCCACTTTCGCTGTTAGAAGTAATGGGATCCTCTAGGACCTGTGTGGTAAATGGCTGACACGGCACCAAGCGTACATCCATTCTCCCATCATTTTGTCCTTCATTCAACAAGTGTTTTCTGGACTTAGACGCTAGCCTAGAGAAATAGGAGGCAGCCCCTATCCTCAAATAGCTTTCAGACATAAGCCCTAAAGGGAAAAAGGCACCCTTTACCAATGGGTAAAGATGTCTTAGAATGTAATCCATGAATCTCGTGCATGAAAATCATCCAAGAACTGCCAAAAACAGAGAGTCCTGAACCCTCACCCTGACCTCCCAAAGTAGAATCTCTGGGGCCAAAAGAAAAAAAAAAAAAAAAAAAGCTTTTAACAAGTGCTTCTAAATGATCTTTGCTTCTGAATATTGAGAAAGGTCATATGTTGTAATTCATTCATTTAACATTTATTAAGCATCTATGGGTAGTAGGCACAAGTTTCCAGATGAATAAGTTCCTCCAGAGCTATTCAAAGTTATTAAAGGTAAACCTTTCATAACAGTGCATCATGATTAAACCATGATAAATCTGCACAGGTCTGCTAATAGTGATGTGGAGAAAAAAGGGAAAAGAAAGGTAGAAAAATTAAATCTCCGGGGCACCTGGGTGGCTCAATCGTTAAGCGTCTGGGATCGAGCCCCGCATCGGGCTCCCTGCTCAGCGGGAAGCCTGCTTCTCCCTCTCCTGCTCCCCCTGCTTATGCTCCTGCTCTCGCTGTGTCTCTCTCTGTCAAATAAATAAATAAATTTTTTTTTTTTAATTAAATCTCCTTACAACTTGCAGCCCATTGACAAATACTGGAGGCAGGCAGAATGACCTTGCTCAAGAAACTCAACTGCCTTAGTGTTAGTACTTGGCTAGAGGCAATTGCACTGCGGGGTATTTACCCAAAGGATACAAAAATACACATTGGAAGGAGTATATATGCACCCTGATGTTTATAGCAGCATTATCAACAATAGCCAAACTATGGAAGCCCAAATGCCCATCTACTGTTAAGTGGATAAAGAAGATGTGTGATATATATATATGTATACACACACACACACAATGGAATAGGACTCAGCCATCAAAAAGAATGAAATCTTGCCATTTGCAACAATGTGAATGGAGCTAGAGTGTATTATGCTAAGTGAAATAAGTCAGAGAAAGACAAATACGGTACGATTTCACTCGTGAAATTTAACAAAATGGATGAACATTTGCGAGGGGGAGAGAGAGAGGGAAACAAATCATGAGAGACCCTTAACGATAGAGAACAAACTGAGGGTAGATGGTGGGAGGTGGGTGGGGGATGGGCCAGATGGGAGATGGGTATTAAGGAGGGCACTTGTTAGGAAGAGCACTGAGTGTTGTGTGTAAATGATGAGCCACTGAACTCTACTCCTGAAACCAATATTAAACTGTATGTCAACTAACTAGAATTTAAATTTAAAAAATAAACATATAAATACAAAAATAAAAATACTTGGCTAGAGGCAAAAAGCAACCTTAGCTTGACATTAGCCCAACCTCCAGAATCCTGTAAGTCTTCTTTAACATATAAAAATCCCTTTGGAAACTTCCTTTATCTATACCCTCACCCCCAAAATATATGTTAGCAATCATCCTTCCAACATCTTGCCCACTCATATACATCTGAAGGGTCTTACGAACCTTATCTTAACAACAGCTAGCCCCCTCAAGGTCCTGAAAGCCTTGCTTCCAAATTCCTCAGAGACTTACACTATCCCTAACCCCCACTAACTAAAAGGTATATAATCAGTCACTCCTCACAATCCCAGTGCAGCTCTTTTCTGTCCATGGGTCTTGTCCCCATTGTAGAGGCCACTTTTGGGCCAACGGGCTTGAGCAATGGAATGCAGAAAGGGCCATAGCAACCACCTGGCTGAATACAGACAGGCCCCTCAAGAGACCCATCTCAAAATACCCATAGGCACTAACTAACCAATGGGCTACTTACAACTAGACACGGTTCCCAAAAAAGGGAAGATTTCATATGTTGCCATACCTTCTCCCCTTCTCCCTTTTTTTTTAAATTTTATTATATTATGTTAATCACCATACATTACATCATTAGTTTTTGATGTAGTGTTCCATGATTCACTGTTTGCATATAACACCCAGTGCTCCATTCAATACATGCCCTCTTTAATACCCATCACCAGGCTAACCCATCCCCACACCTACCTCCCCTCTAGACCCTCAGTTTGTTTCTCAGAGTCCATAGTCTCTCATGGTTCGTTTCCCCCTCCACTTTCCCTCCCTTCATTTTTCCCTTCCTACTATCTTCTTTTTTTTTTAACATATAATGTATTATTTGTTTCAGAGGTACAGGTCTGTGATTCATCAGTCTTACACAATTCACAGCGCTCACCATAGCATATACCCTCCCCAATGTCCATCACCCAGCCCCCCCATCTTTCCCACCCCCCACCACTTCAACAACCCTCAGTTTGTTTCCTGAAATTAAGAATTCCTCATAGCAGGGTGCCTGGGTGGCTCAGTCATTGAGCATCTGCCTTCGGCTCAGGTCATGATCCCAGGGTCCTGGGATCAAGTCCCACATCGGGCTTCCTGCTCAGCGGGAAGCCTGCTTCTCCCTCTCCCACTCCCCCTGCTTGTGTTCCTTCTCTCACTTTGTCTCTCTCTGTCAAATAAATAAAATAAATTTAAAAAAAGAATTCCTCATATCAGTGAGATCATATGATACATGTGACCTCTGATTGACTTATTTCACTCAGCATAATACCCTCCAGCTCCATCCACGTCATTGCAAATGGCAAGATCTCATTCCTTTTGATGGCTGCATAATATTCCATTATATATATATACCACATCTTCTTTATCCATTCATCTGTCGATGGACATCTTGGCTCTTTCCATAGTTTGGCTATTGTGGACACCCCGATGTTTATAGCAGCAATGTCCACAATCTTCCCCCTCTAAAAACAGCCCCCACCCACTACCTCCTTGGAGACAGCCGCTCCTTGAAGTGTGTTCAATAAACTTCTATTGCCTTGTTCTGCCTCAGGTGAATACTTTCACGGCCGCACCACTGACCTCCACCAGATCGTCGCCCCACATTTGGGGGGCCCCATCCGACCAAGAGACACCCCACTTTGGCACCACACTGGTGCTTTAATAAAACCACATTTTTGCACTGAAACATCTCAAGAAATCTTTCATGAGAGTTCACTCCCAGACCCCACACCCAAAACATCACATCAGTAGTGCCAAAATAAAGGGTCCCTAACCCTGCTGGGGACAAAGGAAAATGTCCAAAGGAGATGACACACAGAGCACCTTAAGAAGCAAGCTCTGCAGGGTGCCTGGGTGGCTCAGTTGGTTGAGCGACTGCCTTCGGCTCAGGTCATGATCCTGGAGTCCCTGGATCGAGTCCCGCATCGGGCTCCCTGCTCGGCAGGGAGTCTGCTTCTCCCTCTGACCCTCCCCCCTCTCATGCTCGCTCTATCTCATTCTCTCTCTCAAATAAATAAATAAAATCTTAAAAAAAAAAAAAAGAAGCAGCAAGCTCTGCAAATAAAGAACATTACAGGCAATGCAAACACAAGCTAGATGGGGCTGAGGGGCGGGGGTTAGGGGCGGTGGTAAAGCTGCAGAAATAACCAGCCAGTCAGATCATGTTTAGATGTTTGAATTGAGTGCTTCAGATGGTTTTAAGCAAGATTACTCCAGGCTACACATTAACATCGCGGAAAGTTCACTCTGCCCTATTATTGTGGATCGATCAGAAGTAAACAAGGCGAGCAAAAACCTACTGGGAAAAATTAGGCCTGGAGGCGGAGCTCACTTGAGTCCCCCACGGGCACTGCTGACACCCCACCTTCTGCTCTCCCCAGAGGCTCCTCCGCGCTGTCCTCCAGCCTGACCAACCGCAAAACTTCTTTGCTCATTGGTCACCAGGAAGGCCTGGCCTCTGTCCGCAGGCATTCCGAGTGAAAGTGAGCCTGGGGCTCAACCGAATGGGAATCCTCCGTTCTAGAGTGAGCCTATGTGACAACTCAGCAAATACTGGTCTCCACGTCCCTGCTCCCTACCCGCGAAGGACGGAATTAGGACAACTGAGCACAGCCCAAATGCCTTAAACCCCAGCCCACAAGGGGGCCTAAAGAGAGGTGCATTGGCCCCTTCACCAAGCTTCCCATGGCTTCAGGGCCCAGATCCCAGTGGCTGAACATCTGTTTCTATCTTGTGTTGGAATCTGTCTCGTTTAATCCAATAACCCTGTTCTTCTGTTTAAAAAAAAAAAAAAAAAAAGACGTACAAGGCAAAAAAAGAAAGGCTAGGTTCGTGGTTCCTACTCTTAGAAATGCAAGTGCAAAATCAACCCAGTTGTAACGGAGGATGAAGTGCTTTCAACTTACAGCTTGCAACAGGAGTGAGAAGGAAAGGTTTCTCAGTCATTGCTGGGGAGCCATTCTAACACGTCCAAGTCCGAGACTCACACTGGGGCTCACCTGGCCCAGACCAGGGCCAACGGGCATGGGGTGCAGTGAGTCCCCAAATAAACATGTCCTGAATATGGGAGGTGGTGCAGATTTAGGACATAAGTCTTGGAAGTAGAGTGAGGTGTGTAACTTAATACTCTGCAAGAGCGCTGCTACGTTAAGTGTAGATTATTCTCCAGGCATCTTACCTTGCTCTCAAGTCCTCATTCTTGTGGGAGGGGAGGCAAAAAAGGACATTTAAACTTGCCAGTTAAAGGTAACTCGGTCTGTTTGGGGCAAATGCGCTCTTTCAAGATTTCTCCCTCCTCCTTCTTGCCTAAATGTCACCTTGACATAGAGGAAAGGTTTGGCGGAGGCAGGGGTGGACCTTAAAGCCAT